CTCCAAGCAAGAGATAAATGGTTGAACGTACACAAGAACTTACAACCGGGCGACCTAGTCCTTGTTAGTAACGTCAAAACGACTAGAGGTCTATGGCCTAAAGCTATTGTCGAACAAGTAAGCTATGGCCCTGACGGATAAGTTCGTACGGCAAAGTTGAGAACTGCAAACGAAGAAATTTTTCGAGGCGTACGAAGCCTATGTTTACTGGAAGAAGCCATCTATCTGACGGCGACGATGACCCAGAACAATGGACGTGGTGCGCGTTTCGGTGGGAGTGTAAAGTGTGATCGATAGACAAACACACCAATGATAAGGTGAAACGCCCACCATCACATTAACTTTTCTTGACCTTGTATGACTATACCTTGTTTATCCACCAATCATAATTTTATGTTCATTATGAAACAATATTCGCCTTGATGACTCATTTTTTACTATTCTCTGGTTACTGTTCAGTATGTTAATTATGTATCTGTTTTCCTTGTGTTAATAGACTGTACTGTTTATTTTGTATACTAACGGTGTGTAATTTATGTTTTAGAAACAGATAAAGTTTATAAAGCCAAATAGCTTACTTGTTCTGACTTTGGCTAAAGCAAGACTCTGTGTTCGACAGTTTAGAGAATAGCTTAGTTACATCTGTAGAAAATTGCTTCCTACAACGAGTTTTCTTCAGGTCCAACAGCAAGATAGAACACACAATAAAATTCGCACTTGCAAACGATAAGACATATGGAGTGGTTGAGAAATGTTGTAACAATCAAAATACTAGCATTTGTCTGGACACAGAACTAAGGAACTAAAGTTCTTTCGATTGTGACAGGCTACGTTCTTCCGCACAGCATGCAAAGCGTCTTTGAGTGGCTGGCATCAAATTGTATTTAAACACGAACTATGCACTCATTTTAAAGCGATTCTAACTTAAAAAATTAAACACGTTATACCACAAACACAAAATAACTCAAGCAGTGCAGTCTGTGCTTTACAGTCCAAAGTTTTTCCTACACAAACTACCGTGCCAAAAATAAAAAATATTTTATAACTAAAAGTTAAACACCTGGAAATTAACAAAAATATTCCCAACAACGTTGCGTCAAATATCTATCTTCAGGGATTCGATTCAACAGTCAATCAAGTCAACAATCTTCAACTGAACCACGCTACGACCCTTGGCTTAGTCAAACACAACCTTAATGCTAAAGGTCTGGCAACATGCAGTGGCAAAACTAACCAACAAATTTAAATCTTTAGCCAAAGTTTAATGATAAAAGTTCAGAAGAAGAAGACCAAAAATGATGGAGCGTTGTTACGAGAGACCTGGGTAAAAGTTAATATACAAGGTAGTGAAAAAGAATAAAGAAATAGCCAAACTCAAGTTTATGGGGTGGTTCAGTGTGTTTAAATATAATTTAATGCGAGTCACTTGAAGACGCCAATACTAGTTACAAGTTTTAATAGTTTTCACATAGAAATAATCAATAAGCATTCAAGGTCAAATGATATCTTTTCAAAATTAGTACTGACGCTTGATACTCTCTCCAGAAATCGACAACAATCACGAAAAAAGACATACATTGGAGTGTGAGAACAGCCTTCGAATGAACTGAAGGAAGATCTTAGAAGCTCAGAATGAGCCAAAAGCATCCCATCCAATCATCTTTTGGAAGAACATTCTAGAACCTCGACGTTCAGCTTCCCCTCTGAACAGATGCTAAACGCCACTGTATGAGGATTGGATGACCGTAATGATGAGTTCGTCTTTCGAAAGACTAGTATTTGAACAAAAAATATTCTTTTCGATAAATTCTCTTCGGGTTTTACAATTATATATATATATTAACCTACTTCTTAAGGATGAGACGTTACTGATGACAAAATTTGACAAAGGTTCAGGTGTTGTTCGTCTTAATAAAAGTGATTATATTGAGAAAATGAGTATAATCTTAAATGACGAATTAAAGTTTCAAATAATAACTGATCAGAAAGATTTAAATAATAAGATAGAGAATGAGCTCACCAGATCTTTGAAGAAGCTCAGGTTCCGACAGACTATCTCGTCGAGTTTACATGAAATGTTTAAACCAGTGGGAACCTATCTTCCGAGATTGCATGGATTGGCAAAGTTACAAAAACTGGGGAACCCATAAAGACCTATTCTAGATATGTATAACTCTCCTTACCATACTGTAGCTAAATGGTTGGTTACTGTAGTGAAGCCGCTACACGGAAAGCTTGTAGAATATAGTATTAAGGATATGTTTCAATTTGTTGATAAAATCAAAAATGCAAATACGTTGAGTCTAAAGATGATGTCATTGGATGTAACATCGTTATTCATAAACGTCCTACTCATAGAGACTGTAGATTATATAGGTGAACAGCCGATTGAAAATGAAATTGAAACTACTGTTCCTATTGATGTCGTGAATGAGTTATTACTCAAATGCACATGAATATGAATTTCAAATTCAACGGTGAAATATATAAACAAACAGATGGTGTTGCAATGGGTTCAGCACTAGGCCCTATACTAGCTGATATTTTTCTAGCAAAACTAGAAAATGGTTCACTGAAAGAGGTTATTCAAAACTTCACATTTTGCTGTAGATACATGGATGACACGTTCATCTTCTGTACGGATAATTCATCATCACACGAGGTTCTTAGGCGATTTTATAATGTGCATCCAGCAATTCAGTTTGCATCTGAAGAAGAAAGTGATGGCCGAATAGTCAGTGACGTTACAACTGGGCTATTCGCGAACGACCTCCTGTAGGATCGAGATGTAATCACCATTGATTGATCACTGGGTGGTGAAGCTGGGTGACACGAAATCGAATCTCTCGGGGAGCACCAGTTCCCCCAAGATTACAGGTACGCCTTGTTGACGAGTGCCAAGTAGCGCGAAACTTGGGTCCAGGGTCTCCTGTCGACTACCCTCAACCACCATCTAAGCTTCGTATCATATTTCACACCATTTGAAATAGTATTGCTTCTCACTCGTCCTCTGTCTTTCACCTTGCGATTTGGAGGGTTTTAGCGTTTGAGTGCTCACGTTAAAGACGTTACGGCAATGATTTAAGCACTAGATGCATCAAGTGGCGACGGGGTCGACTTATCAAGATGTCATTTACCTCTGACCAAGCTTGCTGAAGAGTCAAGAAAAACGTTACGAGCAGTTCCAGATTTGTATTCTAGAAGCAGTAAACCCAGCATCTAAGGCCTCCTTTGTACCATCTCCAGTCGAATGGCCAAGAATAAATGTTCGTAGATGCGATTTAAAGGGATCTGGTTAAAGGGGGAAACAGGGTATTTCAGAACAAGTGATCAGAAAATCCTTAACGTCTTACGGAGTAACGCCCAGTTCGGCTGTCACAGAAGGAAAGTCAGCAGCTGAATGTTCGGAAGGAAAGTTCGAACAGTCTTTAACGGTATATTGTCACCCAGGAAGACAAATAAAACTACAAACGAGTATTGAACGGTCACTTGCAAGTTCTAGATGAGCGGAAGGGTACTTATCAAGTCGTATCAAGATAACAAGAAAAGGAAACCGAACGTTATAGAACGTCGGATTGAGGAAGTATTGTGCTTAGTCCAGAGAAACGTCAGAACGTGTATAAGACATAAATCAAATTCAAAAGGATGGCAGAACACTGATCACGCAAAGCAGATTCCAAAAAGCCTGAAGGAGAATGAATGCAGAAGATGCAGAAGACGAAAGAGCAAAGTGGTACAACATCCAAGAGTGCGGCCATTGGAATATAACTTCATCCTGCACCATCAATAATACTTCCAGAATTTACCTGTGATCATTATCAAAAAGCACTTGGACGTCTCTTCAAGTTCTTCATTCGGCTCGTTTGGCCGTGAAATTTGGAAGAAAACAGGCGTTCCCTTGAACCGATGCAAACATCGCTCCCTGAAAGATGGCTGACAATTGCACCTAAATTAGTTAAGGTACACGCTTTAAAGAAATCGGAAAGTATAGAAGTTTTTAAAATTTTTGTCCACATCGTTGATCACGTTTAAGAACTGAGGCCGTCCAAAGTGAAGGTGAACAAGGACAACTTCCCAACCTTTCGGTAGAAAGGTCTGGTGCTTGGACTTGAGTTAATTATGTTAATAAATTAAGACCCAATAATGATTACTCAAAAAGAACTTTAAAACCAATGGATTAAGTACTTATGATGAACAAACTTTAGACTCACAGCAAAGTCAGTTCACTGTAATTTCACCATGATGGAAGGCTAAGAATGAAGGAATCTGGAGAGAAAACTGGTTTTCAAACCTATCATTAGTAGGCGTATTATAACCAGCTGAATTATCAGTAGTTCCACAAGAAGAAAAGACGGGATGTTGCAGAACAAGCAAGTACAAGTCATGGCTCACAGATATATATATATATATATATATATATATATGAATAAACATAGGTGCAGGGAATTCAGAAACACTTGAGATATATGTGTTAAGTGTATACATATGCTTGTGCATTTGTGATGGGTCTGTTTTCAGTGTTCAATATATACCCACCGCCAAAATTTTCCCGTTTGTATGGTGGATGAATGCTGCATTTTAGGACATAATTTTTACTAAAGATACCATTTTAAGCCTCAACTTTTATCGTAATTGCTCTTTCATTATGGAAGTTGGAATTCGCTTTAGCGTCAATTTCAGCGAAATCATGTAGAATTGGATGATTGAAATCAAATCTCCAGTGATCATTATGCTCACATGCAGCATCCACCAATTAGGTGAAGTGGAAAGTACTCGGAAACGCTAGATGTTATACTGTAAAACGGTCGATTTACATTGGACATTTTTTTCGAACACTTATAAGAGAACTAAGAAAGAGTGTGTCTATATAGCCGAAAAATTAAGTGAATCTGGGCTTATATACAGTGGACAATTATGAAATTATTTACTCTCGAAACTTGAGAACGAAATTTTAAATAGGTTATTTTACGATATTAAAATAGACATTTTTGTGTTAGGTTACTTTTCAAAATCGGAATTTCAAGGTTATGGGTTTGTGTGAGTCTGACGAAATTTAAGATAAACCAGTCCTTTTATGAGTTTCAAAATTGTTTGTAATCCTTAAAATTTTTATTTCTGTTCATAAAAATGTCTCCCATCGTTAGTCATCAATATTAAATGAAGTTAAAAAGAATATAAAAACATATTTTGTTGTAACTATTTTACATTGATCAGTAATCTTAAAAAGAACATAAACCTACATAATGCTCCTTTTCAGTCGTCTATTTGTAGCTCATGAACATTCAGCTGTTGATAGCTCGCATCTTTATGTGTGTTTTTATTTCTTCTTTACACTTTTATGCGGTTGGTCAAGTTGAACTACCGATCCTCAACTACAACAAACTTCCTAATGAAAAACGGTAGCCTTGGGTTCGGTCTGCTTTATAATCTGTGGAAAGTAAATGTTTTGAATATATTTCTGGGTCAGGCTTCCACAATTGTCACATATGACGGTTAATATTCTGAAATTTTCTTATATACCACTGTTCCAGTGAGTCGTCTCAGTTGATGCTGTGATCATTTCCGATAGTTTCTTGTGATTACGTGTTCAGTATTATATGAAAGTTATTTTTATTGCCATAATCTAACATGACAATTCATGGGATTAAGTCTCAACTAAATTTGCACAAGAAAGTTGAGTGGTAGGTTTTTAAAAAGCTAGTAGATAGTTGGGAGTAATAAGGAATGGGTCAAACCAAAACTTTTTAATCTAATGAAGTTCCAGTAATTTGGCTCACAAAGAGTTGTGAAACTCACTGAGTAACAACTTACCACTCGTTTATTAAAAGGCTTTGGTTTTCTGTGGCGATTTAGTTGCTTCCCTAAAAAGTCCACTTTTCCGTGATATTCCCCGTTAAAATTATTACTCGTAAGCCAGATTTTAGTTAGTCGCTAGTGCAACTGTGCTACGTTATTTATACCCTTAGGCCACTTATGATGACAGTTTGAAACCAGGTTGCCTGTAAATTAAAAAGTTTAGTTGACAAATATGAATTTAATGTTCATTTTGTTGTGCCAATGAGATGTGGGAACTTCAACCAATGCATATATGTTCCTAGTCTTGTGTTGTAGCTAACTGACTTACTTTGGTTTTCGATTCCGATTGCCTAATGTTTCAGTGGCGAAACGCAGCAACACTAACTAGCAATTCGCTCTTCGTGAACAAATTCCACACCACGCTGCCATTCAAATGACAATTCTACTGCTTATGTGTTGCTTAAGAACCCTTTTACCTTGACTTTACCAATTGCAGTGCAGGTGGTTACGTTTATCCTAACATTTATTTATGACTCATTTAGTAAGCCATAAATACTGTGTTGCGCAAAAGATCATGAAAGGAGTCAAGAGCATGAAATTTTAGTAGTGATTGTTGAAAATGTTTTACTTGGAATCATGCTTTTGAAGTTCAGGATTTGAATGGTTCGGAACCGCTCGGTAAAACCTTGTCAGCCTACGGAAACAATCCAGGTTGTAAATAATGAAACAACTGTTTGGAGCTGTTAGGACCACTTTAATTGGAAAACGACTGTTCACTTCTCACTTCAATTTAGGGTTTGTTCCATATTAGGCATTTTGAAATCTATATCCACGTGTAATAAACAAAGGTTATTTTGCTGTATTACTAGTTAATTATGAAACGGTCCTCAAAAAATGCTATTATTAATTATATTCAGATCTAGCAAGTGTATTAGTTCTGTGGAGATTAACTTGTGAGTAAAATGATTCACAGTGAATGTTTATTACTGATGTCTTTCCAAATGAAGACTCGATCCGATTTCCGAGCCCTATTTAACAACCTCCATCTTAAGATGTAAATACGTATCACAAACGAATGGGAAAGAATTAATTCCAAGTAATTTTCATTCTAATTGATTGGGTTATTACTCGTCATATCAACTACTTTATTATTCGAATGTGCACGGCATTGATGCTTTTGTTTAGGGTTTCTGGACTTTCGTATTACTGATTTTTTCTTTGTGCTGATGCAGATCTGTCAACTGATGTCAACGCTCTTTTTACTAGGATTCAAATTTTTTAGGCATGAATGATTTACTTATCATAATCCCATATAATTAATAACTGACTTGTGTTTTAAAGTATTCCCAGTCTTTTCAACTATCAAGAAATGTGAACGATGTAATTAGATTGAAGTAGTTTCTTTGGTCTTACATTGTAAAGCTTAGATAACTGGATAACTGTCTAGATGAGAGTAAACTATTAATCAGTATGATATATAATTTCTCAGTGTAATACACACATTAAGCACCAAATAAGATAGCGGGCTACGGGTATTTTCTCATCTCTTACTAAATTTTGGCGATAAAATTGAATTTTACTTTTTTATGTGGGTGATATCAAAGATGTTGTATACTTTGCGATCACTATTTATTGTTTATATGAATACTTATCAGGGTGCCACGGTAGTCTTTCTTTGTTCACAACTCCTCACAATGACCTTGAAAAATCCATTTACTGATATTATCTTATCATATTTACGTCGTCTTTGGGAGTCATTAGTTAGTAAGAGCCATTTTTCTAATGATGAGGTTATATGTAATAATTTGTCTCATCTAAAATTACATACCTAGAATAATAAAAAAAACATTGCACTTACTACGGAACATTTTTTTTCTATGCTTACGTTTATTTAGAACCAAATGTGAAAGATGCTGAGATATTTTAAGCCGGATTATAGGCATTTATTTGACCGTCGTTCCGTGTTTTTCTTTTTAGTTTCAGTTCGTAATAAAAGTATTAACTTTGGAAAAAGCTCTACAGGTTATTAAACTGAAGAGGTGTTGTATGAGATCTGGTTTTTCAAGACATATCTGAAGGAAAATTGTCGGCATAAAACACTGTTAGTATATCTTCTGCTTTCTCTATTTATCAGTCTTTGGTATTCAATCAATGACTTGGATGCATTTGTCTTTTGAAATTATAGGCAAATTGTCAACTCGAAAACCCATAACTGTTTTTGTTATTAGAACTTAATATACTTTATTCTGTCTCTGTTAACAAAGTTTGTCTTGGAAGCCCGTTGCTGAAAGTCTCTGTCGTTAACGACAATATTCAGTAGTCTTATATAGTTATTTTTCAAAATTTAACTGTTTTTCGACCTCTTTAAAATTTAGTTATTTACTGGGCTTTTATTTTTCTTGTAGGTCAGAAGCTTGACGGTCTTTGTCAACCGAAAGCCAGAAGATGGGTCGGAATTACTGTTGGAATACTGGAGCTATTTTTTTTTGGAGGATATTACTACGGTTTCAATTCCCTTATACCAGCTTGGAAATCATTAGGGGTTTCTGCATATAATTGTAGTAATGCGACGAACACCTGTTTATATAATGACTCTATATTCGGAAATGGTTTTATTGTTTGGATTGTCACGCAAAATTGTCTTATTTCATTCTCTGGTATATTCATGGATAAGGTTGGATTAAGGGCTTTAAAGTTGGTAGCTATAACCATGTATTTTGTTGGAACACTATTCTTTGCCTTTATGCATAAGGAAACAGAACCATTGTATTATATCGCCGGTATATTGGTCGCTATAGGGAGTACTTCAAATCTTATATGCAATCAGCATATCACTTCGATGTTTCCCAAATATCGGGGGTTCGGGATATCTCTTCTTTCTGGTGCTTTCGATTCCAGCACATTAATAGCGTTTATACTTTCTGAAACATATACACAGTTTTCATTACAGAAATCCTTCGTTATCATAGCGATTGTTTCTGTATGTGTTGGTCTATTCATGGCCATATTTATTTTAACCACAAGATCAGATGACATGAGAAAATTTGCAAGCAACTTTAGCGATGCTGTAACAAGTGAGAACAATGGTGAACAGGAGAAACTATCTCAAGAATGCGTCAGGGGTAATAATGAAAACACGGTAATACTTTTTAGGCAATATGATAACCTTGATAATTAAAACAACTTGTAGTTTTTAATTTCCAATGTTTGAATGGTAGAAACGAGGAAGGATATTTATCACCTCGTAAATTACAATTCATAATAGGGATGTGTTTTGAAGTTGGTCGAAATAGAATTGTTCACATAGTTGTTAGTAATTATTCAACTAGATCAAAAGGAACAGAAATGAATCATCGTTTGTAGACCGGATGGTTTGAAGTTTCGTTACTCTACATTACACTTACTTACCTACGCCTGTTACCTCTCGTGGATGAGCATAAGCCGCTCACCAGCACTCTCCACCGAACCCTGTCCTGGGCAATCCTTTTCAGTTCTTTGTAGTTGCTTTTCATATCTGTTTCCAATTCTCGATGTAGTGTAATCTTTGGCCTTCCTCTTTTCCGTCTCTTTCCAGGATTCCAAGTTTGAGCTTGCCTCGTGATGCAGTTTTTCGATTTCCGCAATGTATATCCTATCCACATCCAGCGTCTTTTCTTGACTTCCTCTTCAACTGGAATTCGGTTTGTTCTCTCTCACAGTAGGTTATTACTGATAGTGCTCGGCTAACAAATTTGGAATATCTTACGTAGATGATTGTTTATAAATACTTGTACTTTTTGATGGTGGTTTTAGCGGTTCTCCACATTTAGAATAGAACTGTGTTGACATTCGTATTGAAGATTCTGACTTTGATGTTGGCTGGCAGTTGTTTTGAGTTCCATATGTTCTTTAATTGTAGGGATAACGCTCTTGCTTTGCCAATCCTTACATTTACACCAGCATCGAATTCTCATTGTTCGTCAACGCTACTTCCCAGGTACATGAAAAATTCCACATCTTCCAGTACCTTTCCGTCAAGTGTGACTGGGTTAGTGTTCTCCGTATTGTATTTGAGGATCTTGTTTTTTCCCTTGTGTATGTTGAGGCATACTTATGCTACACTGACTGTATTCATCTGCATTTGTTTGTGTGTACGGGATAGAAGGGCAAGGTCATCTGTGAAGTCCAAATCGTCTAATTGGTTCCGAACTGTCTGTTGTATCCCGTGCTTTCTTTCAGATATCGAGGTTTTCACAATCCAATCGATCACCGGAAGAAAGAGGAAGAGTGGGGTAAGCGGCGTTGTCTGAATCCGGTCCTCACTTGGAATGAATCTGTCAGCTGTCCTCCATGCACCACTTTTCAGTCTAGTCCGTCGTATCAATTCCGTGTGATGTTGACGATCTTTTCAGATACTCACTCCATAGTGTCGAGGAAATTTCCACAAAATCCTCCTATCCACTCTGTCAAATGCCTTCTCATAGTCAATGAAGTTGATGTGTATTGATGAGTTCCACTCGTCAGAGTTATCTTGAATTCGTTAAGTTTGTCAGTATTTCGAAGGAAGGTTGTATTTAAACTTTGTAATGCTGTTTGTCCAATTGTCCAGTGCTCTTTTAGCTTCAGTTTCATGTTGGCCACAAGCAAATAGTAATCTCCTGGTTTCTACGTCTTCCATTGTCCTTCTGAACTTTTTATTGAGACAAATATGATCTATCTGGTTCTTCGTGGTGTGATCCGGTGAGACCCATGTAGCTTGTGTATGCGTTTGTATGGGAATATTGTGCCACCTATGACCAAGTTGTTGAATGCACATAGATTTGCAAATCTCTCCCCATTTTTGTTTCTCCCAGTCAGTCCATGTCGTCCCATGATATCTTCATATCCGGTGTTGTTCATTCCGACTTTGGCATTTAGGTCTTTCATCAGGATGGCGAGATCTTTTCTTGGGCACTTCACTATGATTGATTGCAGTCTTTCATAGGACTGATCCTTCTTGTCGACGTTGCTGTCATTGATGGGTGCATAACAATGGATAAAATTCATTGTGATCCCCTCCTTTGTTTTGAATGATGCTTTCATGGTACTGGATCGGTGAGATTATCATCCTATACGTGCATTACGTGTTTTGAACAGCATCAGAGCAACTCCCTGAGTGTGTGGGGGCATTTTTTTTCTCGTGACCGTAGTACAGCAGCATCTCTCCCATATCTAGCCTTTGCTGTCCAACTTGGGTCCAATGGGTTTCGCTGATATCGAGTACTGTTAAGTTGTATCTCCTCATTTTCGTTGCTATTTGATTGGTCCTCCCGGTCTCCCACATTGCCCGGACGTTCAATGTACCTATAAATAATGTTGCTCTGGTTGTTAGAAGAGGCATCGGCCTCGCGACGTCTGAAGAATCTCGGCTTTCATCCTGAGGCATAATTCTTTCTTGAACTCAGAGGATAGAGCTTAAATGGTTTTATTTGTTTAATCTGGTTGGCATCTTTTCTGGCAAGATTTATTCTACGAGATGGGGTTGCTAACCCCATGACCGACTCTCTTCCTTTACTCGGTCTTGAGACCGGCAGTAACTCTAAAAGAGCTACAGACGGATTTCTACACTACACACTTGATTATATATAGCCTTTTTCAGTATTGATGATATGTGGACCTTTGAATACTTTATTAGCATTCGGAAGTGAGTTTTAGATGTCTTTTGATTGTAAATGCATTCTGTGTATGGGCGACAAGAAACGTTCTGGTGACAAACGTTTATCTAATACTGTCAAAATATCAAATATCCATTTGGGTGGAATCCTGTGGTTTAATGATATAAAGTACCTTAAGTATTAGTATGTGGTGTTGATGATTGATGTTTACAAGAAATCCGAATATCAATACAGGCGAACGGTCCTAATGCTGTCAAACAATCTCTCTAATGACTTAAATGTAGAACCTATTTCCGGTAGGAATAAGAATTACTGGATGGTAGATGCATTACTTGTCATTCCTCCTTTAGCTAAGATCCTCTTAAAGTAGATATACATTTTTTTACCATATTATCTCCACATACAAATGGTGCTTTGATAATATAAATGTTATATATTATATTGTTAAATACACTTGGTGAATGAAATAAATTTCATTTGAAAGTTAAGGCGATACTACAATTTATGGACGAACTAATCAGATATAAGATAACAGGTCTTGGATTTTAGTACGAAATTCACTCATCCATTTGGATAAATAGCGTTTAGGCATTTTAGCTGATATCAGTTCGTGATGAAAGCCCTAAATCTAATTTATAACTGTAATCATCAACTGTAAATCCAAATTCTATTTCCTCACACTAGTTTATAACTTATTTAGTCCTAGTTAGTAGATGGACGTTCTCAAAAGTCATCCATAAGTTATAGACCCACTGAAGTTGCTTATAAAGTTATCTTATGGAAAGATGTGAGCTACCATGAGTTTTAGCATGGTGAAAACTAACTACATGGACACTGGTACTTTTTCTTCAGTATCAATGTATTGTAAAAAAATAATTATAATAACAGTAGTTGATCAATGAATTTGCAATTGTTTATTGACTTCTATTAATGTAGCACTAATAATCCAATTATTACCATATTTTCCATAGAAAAATATAACCAACAAACCAGATTTTACTATGTTTGCTCTCACTTTAGCTGTGGCTAAATGTTTCTATTGAACCTTGAAAAACAGCAGATAAGTGTTCAGTAGATGAGTTCATCAATACTGGTTAGAAGTTAAATGTCCGAAATTTACTCCCTATGAATGTTCTCAAATGATCTCATTGAATAAAATTGATTGATAATATTACCTGACGTGATGATTGCTTGGATTGAACTATAAGATGAGTATAGTTAAACCTATATGATGTTGATATTGCTATCAATACAACTGTTGCTATTAGTATTAATAATAAAGTTCCGCTCGAATTTAACACACCAATTGAAATATGAACCTTATTAATAAGAAACATAAAACTCTCCATTACAATATAAATCTATCGAGGCAGATTAAGAAGTAATTGTTGATCACATTTTTATTTTTAAATGATCATGATCTTTCACGTTTGACTATTTACTTCCACTTTTAGCCATCATTGGATAAAGAGGCAAAAAATATTGAAGTATCTAGAAGAATCAAAATGTTAATAGACCTCCGTTATCAATCCATAAAAGATTGTATAATATCCCTACCATTCTTGCTTATTACAATATGGTTTATGCTTGGATTATTTCGTTTTTCAACATTTCTCGGGCAATTACAACGTATCATAAACGAATTGTTTCCAAACGACATAATAACAATTGATCATCTACTGCAAATTTCATCAGCATTTTCAATGTGTGGATTTTTAGCCGCTCCAATTACTGGTTTCATAATGGATATATCGCAAGCCTATTGTAGGCGAAAAATTATGCAAAATGATTATAGTATAAATGATCAGCATCATAAAAATAAAATTTATTATACATATATATTTGGTTTAGCGCCTGCACTATTTTTTATGGCATTTTGTGCTATACTCATAAGCTGTTTAATATTTATACCGAATCGTGTGGCTTATTATTTCTCATTTCTGTTTTTTGTTATGCTACGTTCATTGTTATTTAGTGCATCTGTAGGCTTTTGCTTGACTGCTTTTCCTGTACATTACTTTGGTACAGTATGTGGTATATTAAATTCAATCGGTGGTATATTCAGTCTATTACAATATGCATTTCAGTATACAAGTAGCGCAGAAATAGCTAATATTATCATAACTATTTGTTCTGTTGGCTTATTTATACCACCTGTTATTCTGTTTAAAATGAAAGGTCGGTAAAATTGGGAGGAAATCTCGAACAACAGACATTATTATTCAGTGTATGTGTGCTCTACTTTTTTTTAAATTGATGATCCTCAACACATTGTACTCTCTTAATTTGTATTTACTTGTTATATCTGTATTTAAAAAATGTTTCACTTAATAAAAAATGAGTTTAAAGAGTACTTATCTAATTGCATCAAATTATGTATACCTTTAATACTACACTGGCTTTGATCTCTTTTTGGTGCTTATCTTTTTTCTATCAATAGTAGAATTTCAATATTTACATTTTCATTTTCATGCTTTCGCCTTATTCTTGCTTAATTTTTATACAGAAGTTTTTTTGAAAAAAAAAGTGAATAAACAGAATAGATTTTTTCTATTCAAAAATGATTTATGCGTGGTAGAATCGTCTAATTTACAGTAATTGTATATATAAACATCATTTCACTCATAATGATGTTTCATTAAATATACCCAGAATAAATATACTGGAATGTTCATCATTCGTTAGAGTAATTTGCTAGATGGATTTACATTCTATTGTTTATGTTTCCACTAAGAATCAAATGCATCAGTTGCATTGATGCAAATGCTGTAGAGGTGTCCAGTGAAATCGTCCCGTTTGTTAATAAAAATTGTAATTTTACGGTAGAGATAGTTGAGTTTTGAGTTGAAAAATTAGCGAGTATATCATCACTTACCTAAAACACAAGTATTCTGACCATAACTGAAAGATATACTTAATTATACATTTTTAATTTCTTTTTAGCCACAAGAAGAGATTACGACAATGACAGCAATTCCTAATGCTTTTGAACATTCGTATGAGCCATTTAAATCAAGTTTCCTCAATAATTTCCTTACGTCAATAATAGGTAATCAACAGAAATGACAGTGACGAACATAAATCAATCTTTTGAAGTTTATCAAACTATTATGGGAGTTTTGCCTAAAGTTTCAATTACTGTTATTTTCAGTCCTGAGACGGCTATGTCCTAATAATTCTCAGATATGTGTGTTATAAGAATTTAAAGTGAAGGTTGAGTTATTCTGAACACGTCTTCAGACTTTAAAATTGATGCTATTGATAACCATTATTCATTTACTCTTCAAATGTCTCATGCATGTGAGCCTTACATATATGATCAAAGAGAGCAGCGGTTTATTTATCAATAAATTCGATCTACTAAGATGGCCTATTGAGTGATGGGTAAGCTAATGTTGAATGGGTTAGGAAGTATCAGGGTAGAATTGTATATTATTTAGTGATGAGTGTGGGTAGGCAAATTAAAGGATGAGTCAGATTGAGTGCAAGAAATGCAAAGTACAATGATAAGGTTGTTGTTGAATAAATATTTGTGAGCTACTTTTGACCAGTAGTTAGCTAATGAAGGTGCATATCCGTTCTACAAAGAAAATGATTAGTCCCCATAACTTAAGTAGTTTTAATGCTTTTGAACATTGGTGTGAGCCATTTTAATCAAGTTTTACATTCGACATTACAAGTACAAATTCCAATTTTGAGTTGTATGTGACGAACGAGTAAACATGATACACTATACTATCATTATCATGCTTGTCTAGTACTCAATATTAATATAATCCTATCATTTATGTTTTGATGCAGTCAGTAGTCGGAGTAGATCACAATCAAGTGCAATTTTATGGTAGGTGGTGAGAGGTAATCGGCTGGAAGCCCTAGATCAAGGTTTCATTGAGTTATCTGAACCTGAAACTGGGTAGATTGTGTTCGGTTAGCACTGAGGTTCAAATATTTATAAAATTGATTAGTATTCAGTGATTAATTAGTGTAAAAGCCTAAGTCCAAAAGTAGAGCAGTCACTATTCACGTCTGTCAGTCCTAACATCTCTTATACGTATACTAGATGATTTAAGTTCCACTAATAAAAGGAATGTTAGTTTACTCAAGATTGCAGTTATCAACTAGGACTAAACATAGGTCCAGGGCTTTGCAGCTAATATTGAAATCATATAACATGGAGTAAACAAATTGCATAAAGTTACAACAGCCAAGAAAAATTTATGTTAAACGATATATACATACATTTCTTTTCTTTATTTGCTTTTTACTGAATATTGGAGTGGGAAGTTTCCTACTACTGGTTTACTTTTCACTCAAAATATGTAATAAATAAAAGTTGAAACATTAAACTGTAGGTTAATACCACCAAATGTTTTATGTTTAATTACAGATAAGATTATCTCATGTTGATAATCTGTTTATGAATAGATAAATAAATAAAATTCAAAAGTTTCTTTGTTTAATTTTTGAATAATTGCTAATATTTATTCTACATAAATATTAATTTAAAAGTTAAAACAATTAACTTCAAAGAAAAATGTGAATGTTATATACATACTCAATTATTCTATATGTACTTCAAAACCGACAATCATTTTGGTAAGTATTTATTCTATTGATAAGTAAATGTTACATTTCAGTCATACGAAAAAAACAAAACAAAAAAAACTTTTTGAACTATAGTTAGTAACTGGCATAGAAAATCTTTCATCTTGCATGATTTAAACTGATAGATGTTATTTTCAGTTTTTGACGTATTCATATTAAATTAGGGGGTTTTCATCTTTATTGTACAGCTGATTGTCGTGAAGAAAAACATAGTAATTGTTTAATTTGCTTAAATACTAAAGAATTTTGTTATCAAATTATAAATATTTATCTATACCCGAATATTTATATCTGTCGTCAATAAATGAAGTTATTTCACCAAATTTGCATGGCTCCATTTTGAAACTAAACCACTTAGAAATTATACAGTTGTTGTTGCATATTGGATAATAAAAGCACCAGTCACACTGGCTGGGACCTTTTCAAATGTTACCGAAGCTTCGGCAGTTCAATGGTATTGTAGTGAAATAGAACACCAGTGGGGACAATCCAATGTATTTAACAACAAATTACAGAGCTAGTTAGTAAAATCAAACAACCATATATTGAATCGTTAATTTGCACATTGTTCATCAATTGTCTCAAATCACTCAGAATCCCCTTGTTCTTGAATTTTCATACAAATTGCATTCTGTCTTCATTCTTTATTGTTCAATCTTCTTATCTCTCTGCCGCCAGACATTCTGTTTAGTGCTCACGTCATATACTACTTATGTCTACATAAGTAGCACACACCACAGTATGAGCACTGTCAAGATATATGTGAAACAAAAATGACAAGCTTACTGTAGTTGTTTGGCGGAGTTGGGAGAATCGTCGAAATAGACGAAACAGTAGTCAGGAAACGAAAATTTAACAGAGGATGTAGTATTAAAGAGTAATTAGCAGTTCCATAAATATACTTCACAGGTCCTTGGAATATACGACGGGTTATCCCAAAAGGGACACTTCCAACGGGTCAGAAACCGACAGGTGACTAGACACTACAATATGTACAGATGATTGGAGAGTGTACAGATGCCTGCATAGACTTGGTTATGTGCATCACGTCGTTATCCATAAGCGCCATTTTGTGGACCCTACAGCAGGAGTGCACAATAACAATTTTGAAGCTATGTCGTCTAGGCTAAATGAGTTTTTACGACCTTATCACGGCTTGAGAGGTCGATTATTATGGATGAGTTTCTCTACCGTATGCATTACGATTTTAGAACCTCCGAACCTCTTCCTAACCTTGACAAGTTTTTGAACCATGTAAAAGAAGTGGCTGATATTTCTCAATATCACTTAAGCTTCGTTCAAAGGTCGTCCATAAATCATAGTCCTGACAATCGCTTCGCTACAAGTTTGTAATACCTAAAAATTACATCAGTTTTAGTGAACTTTCATTATTATAATTACTCTTCAATTGACTTCACAAGTATTTCATTAGTCGCACTCTCTTTCTATTCTGTTAAACAATTCGACGAATAAAGTAAGTACTGATAATATCACCATGTAACTTTCGGTAGAATATTACACAATGGAGTTCGTACGTGGTGAAATATTTCCCAGATAAAAACTAGTAATGTGACAATACTAACGTGGATCTATTATTTATGAAGAATAAATCAAAGTAGTATTCATTCGTTAAGTGCTATTTTGATTTGTTGAACGAAAGCTGAATATCAGTGTTAATGGTATCTTAAAGTTTTCAGGTTTATGATGACCTTATAGTCAGTGTTTATGATTAAGATGGATTTGGATTTCATTTCTGTCAATTCACCGATTCAGTAGTTGACAATTAGTTTGTATAAATATTAGTATAAACCATACAGCTTGAATATTATTTGATTTTTGTTCAGGTAGTTTCAATTTGTGTAATTTTGAAATTGTTTCAATGATATTTGGTAAGAATTTTACCAGTTTAGAATCATGAATTAGTCCTAAAATTTCGTTCCTTATAAGTTAATACTAAATGCTTACAATTAGAAAACACCAGTAATTCTATGCGCAAATTCAAATTCCAATAAATAGCTTAAATAGTGTGTTAGTGTGACATATAGCCATCTACATAAATGTTCACTAAGATTTACTATGAATTGAGATATCTATCAACCAGTTTAGGGGTACAACCCACCAAAGCTATTTTCAGAATATATGTCCTGTACTTTTTTTACGGAACATATACCCTTTCTAGTTATTCACTCAGTATATTTTATGCATAAGTGATCTGTATTACTTGGAAAATGGTATTTTATGAACATGACAGTTAAACTGTGATAATAATAATAATAATAATATTAATAATAATAAAGTTATGTACATCAAATTGTATCCTTTTGAGTTTACATGGTTGAATATTATTTAATCACTCATAAGAGATGTGGGTATGTTATGTAATTTTAGAATAATAATATTTGTTCCGAATCAATAAGGCAATTGACAGTTCTAAATATTATTGATAAAAACATTCCATTGTAATAAATTACATTGTTGATTGGTCATATCCATATTCCGATAATATTCAATCAAAGGACATATTTGTTATATCTAAACAAAAATTAAATGTATGGTAACTGCTAGTAGTTATTATGACCTATATTTATAATTTCAAGCTTTCTTTTGATCTATTGGATACTGCAATACAATTTACCATTCTCAACTTATTCCCAATTTATGAGTAGCAGTATCCCACACTCACAGCTACTTTTGGCTTGATTTCGTACAGTCCTTATTTTTTGGTTTATGGTGTAATGCGATCTGGTCTGTTTGTATATGAACCAAGTATGTCTGAAATATACGATTCATACAGTGGAGGTTGAGATTGTGTTCTAGACCGAGCGGGTTGGGCTGGGCGAGAAGATGCGATATAAGGGACCAATGAGGACTCGGAGTTGACTGAAGGCTGCCGGTACTATTTGATGCATCGTTGATTTAGTACGGGGGCAAGATCAAAGAAGTTGGTATGATGATTGGCGATTTTACTACATGATATTTGACGGGCTATAAGAACATAACGATATTATTTACGCTTGGCAATTAAAATTTAAAAGAAATCGTGACCAGTGTAGATCAACCGTGTTGGCTGTGAGGCAGTTACCCATAGAAGA